CCTATTCAAGCAGAGGCGCTAATCGCATCATCGGGATTATCTCCCTGCGGTCTCCCGAGCAGGCTGCCCTGGGACTCGGGTTTAATTCCGTTTTAATAACAGGTTCTTAAACACATTTGAAAACAAAATTATGATGCCCTTTCATCCCTTCAGTTGGGGGAAAAAAAAAAAAGCCTTCCTGATGTACAGTAATGTGTTGGGTTTTGTGTAGTCTCTTGTTTTGTTATTTGGATCTTTTTGTTTTGTTTGAGAATGCGTATTGTTTTGGAGATTGTTGGGGGCTGGGATTCCAGGCTTTTTCTGTTTCAGAATGATTTCCGTGGCAACAAAGGAAACAGCTAGTCTTCCCAGATGCCAGGACCTGCCTTATTTGAAAATTGCCTTGTTGTAGGGCCAACGGGGATCATGGTTTCTGAAAGCAGCAAACTTGCTTTAAGATGACATATCCAATTCAGGGACAGGCTTGGGAGAGACTTTGTGCATCTCGTATTCATGGAAAACATAACATTTTACTTTCCCAGGCAGGGCCAAGGTGGTGGTTGATTTTCTAGAAGTTTCCATCGATTGTAAAGGATACAACATATAGCACTGCCTGCGGGAGACAGGAACGGAAAAGGAACTCATTGGGCTTCAAGTGAGCAGAGCAGAGAGGCTAGGTACCTGATGATTTTTGTTCCCTAATCTTTCAGTATTTTTCCCCATTACTGGCTACCACATCCTGGAAAAAAAAACAAAACAAAACACCATAGCGTCCTGGATTTCACAGAGGCTAACATTTCATCTCCTTGGTGATCTATAGAACTACCCCTAATTCCGCAATTTGTGATACATTCCTTTGACTAGATTCTGCCTTTTCCTGGCAGCCTCCTTTAAAACAGAAATGCCATTAAAGCGGGTACAAGTGGAATCCCTGGCCAGTCCCTAACGATTCCTGTGTGAGTTAGGATAACTCCAGGACTACCCGGGAAGTTACCTGGAGTGCCCTGACATGGCACGGAGTGGATGAACCTGGCAGAAGGGTTTGCTGGAGGACAACGGGGGACAGAGGGACGGAAGGAGTATTTTCCACGGGAGACATTCAAGGGGCGTCTGGGTGGCTCAGTCAGTTGAGCGTCTGACTTCAGCTCAGGTTACGGTCTCACAGTTCCTGAGTTTGAGCCCCACGTCAGGTTTGTGCCGTCAGTGAGGAGCCCGCTTCGGATCCTCTGTCGTCCTCTCTCTCTGTCCCTCCCCCGCTCTGTCTCTTGTCGTCTCTCTCTCTCAAAAATGAATAAATATTAAAGAGAAAGAGAGAGAGAGAGAGACAGCTTAGGGGGCCAATGTCTCTGACCCAATGTGCACAATGTTATTATGTTTGTATTTTTCCCGAAGTCTAGACTTTTTACCAAATTCTCCAAGAACTCTGACCTAGAAAGATTATAAATAATCTTAAGAGCGGACATTTACTGAGGTCCTTCCAGGCGCCAGGCACAGAGCCTCACAAACACTGGTTCACCTGCTCCTCCCCTTCCACGGTGATCTACGTTAGCACTCTGTTCCCTTATTACAGATAGAGAAACTGGGGTTCCAGCTTGGTCAAGCAGCAGAGAGAGCAACGATGGAAAAAATACCGGCTCACATTTATTCGGTGCTTACTGTGCACCAGGCAATATGTATACATTATCTCAGGTCCTCATAGTCATTCTCTGCAGTGAAACGCAGAGAATTTAAAAACTCACCCACGGCCGGGGCACCTGGGTGGCTCAGTCGGTGAGGCGTCCGACTTCGGCTCAGGTGGTGATCTCACGGTTCGTGAGTTCCAGCCCCCCATCGGGCTCTGTGCTGACAGCTCAGAGCCTGGAGCCTGCTTTGGATTCTGTGTCTCCCTTTCTCTCTGCCCCTCCCTGGCTCATGTGCTCGGTCTCTCAAAAATAAATAAATGTTTTAAAAAAAATAAAACCTCACCCATGGCCACAGAGCCAAGAAGTGGCATCTCCTCCTCCAGCCCTCCCCTGGAGTTTGTACGTACCTTGACCCCGCTTCCTGACCACTGCTTCCGAAACGCCTCCTTCTAGCCCCCCACAGTAGGCTCCCACCCAGTTTCGCACGGGTCTCAGAAATCCACCAGGGGAAACTGCTTTCGCCCTAGGATGCTGGCTCTTTCGGTCTTCACAATCAGGTGAACGAAGGGAAGGCACGTCCTGGCACTGGGGAGCTGCCCCAACGGAGGAGGGGGCCTCACGGGTTCCGCCAGGGTCTGAGGACACAACCCCAGACCTGCTGTGGTGGGTGGTTCACCTGGGATCTGGAGAGGCCAGTCCCTGCCTCCAGAAGCCCGAGACTCAGCCTGAGAGCCGTAACCGGCTCGGTTTCCTTCACCTGTAAATTGGTGTTAGCCACACTGCTTTGCATTGTTTTGAGGACGAAATGAGGGATGTGGATGAAGTGGCTGGTCTGTTAGTCTGTGAATTATTACATCTTGGGTGACGACTGTCAGTGTTATTATTCTGAGATCTTCTGAGCTCTGTCCGGGGGGAAATTTCCAGCCATCTAATATAGATTAGAACAATTTGCTTCTCCGCTGATGGGGAAGCTGTGACATTTTGGTGGCTCTGATACAGAGCTGTTTTTCAGAAAGGGAGAGCGTCTTACATTTCTGTTCGGGCGGACCATTCGGCCAGATTCCCTGGCACTGAGGGTTTCCCCAGGATGAATTTCAGTGCTCACACCAGGAAAGTCTCAGGCAAACTGGGATGCGTTGATCACCCTGCTCTGAGCAAGCAGCTCCCTCCCGGCCTGGAGACCCCACTGTGGCTGCTCCCCGCCCCCAACCCCCAGCATGCAGGCACGCGCATTGGTTCACCTGCTACATCCTGGAGCTACATTATGTGGAACCGAACAGAAATGTAAGACGCTCTCCCTTTCTGAAAAACAGCTCTGTATCAGAGCCACCAAAATGTCACAGCTTCCCCATCAGCGGAGAAGCAAATTGTTCTAATCTATATCTGTCCCAGCAGCTAAGCCTGCTTATAATGAAGCACTATCCAAGCACTCGCCGGAGAAGGCATTTCAGACGTCCAGTGATTTAAGCCACCTCTGTTAAGCTCAAACAAACAAAAACCTATAAAGGGGGATTTCACTAATTCACTCTAATGACCAGGAGACCCATCTAAACACGCGACATTGTCAGGGGGATGAGAAAAATAATTAAAAAACCAAAGAGCCGGGAGGCATGTAAATTTACTTTATTCAACCAGCAAGGTTACAAGGTAACTCAGTGCCATGAGTACTCGGTTACGGTCCGCTGGGGATGCCTCGGCCCCAAGTAGAGAACCCAGAAAGAGCCAGGCAGGTGTCCCTAAGTCTCCCCGGCCTCTGCTTTCTCTGCTGCAGGGAGGACCCAGGTGGACGTGGGGAGATGGCATCTTCACGAGAGCCCAGAGGAGTGGTTCTCAGAGTGCGGCCCCTGGGCCAGTAACAGCAACAGCGCCTAGTAACCTGTAAGAAATGGGGGCGGTCCTCAGGCTTACGTTTGAGAACCACCTGCCGGATCACTGAAGAGCTTACTCAACTTGCCGGACAAAGCTAACAGCTGCTGTTCTCATTACAGACTCCATCACAGACCTGGCTGAGAGGGTGGCCTCCCCGACCCTGGGGACACACACGGGCAGGGCTGGGGTCCCTGGAGCAGAGGGACTATTCTTCTGTG